CAGCACATGTAGCTTAAAAGACAAAAGCAGCTTAAGCTATCCTTAGTAATCTGGTTTTAAAAAATGTATGCATTCAAAGATTACCAGTATGTAAAGGTCAAAACATCCAGATAGTTGGAACTAAATTGGATTATACAATGTCCGTCATACTTCAGTGTCAAGAAAACGAGAACAATAATAATCTAAAATAAGTCATAGCTAAATGGTTCAATGAAATCGGAGAAAAGTATACTTAATCTTCGAAAGTTATGTACAAGTATACAGTTCAGATGGATTGACATTCTTTCTAAAATTATTGTCTAAAAGAATGAATACTGCGCATGTATGGAGTGCCCTTATACACCAAAGATGCTTATTCAATAAACAGAGATGGCATTAATAATGAGAAAAAAAGCATGACTTGCTTGTAAAATCTATTTTAAAAAGATGTAATAGAAATCCAATTAAAACAATTAATCAAATATGTTTTCCAACTTACAATAAGTTCTGCTTGTATGTATGCCAACCATGTAAGTTCTTTTTGGAAAAAACCATTTGACGTCATTGGTCAACATTTTTCAGAAATAATATGATTAAGTGTTAATATTGATGATAAAATACACTTTAGGTATTCAGTATAGAGCATCAATATAATATAGCAATAAATAAACAAATTATTTATATCTTAGCAATGACACTAGAGCAGGTCAAGGAACTATAGGCTTGATAATGATCTTGTTATTTTTATTATTCATACAGCGACTTTCCAGTACACTCCATTCTTCAATACCAAATATATTGTTAACCGAAACTAACTTTTCTTTTCTCTTTAATTACAACTTGCCTAAAGCTTTTCTTAAGTTTTTTTTTACATTAAAGTATTAAAGAAATCCAGCCTTGATTACAATGTTTTTAGTAACTTCCGACCAATCTCCAACCTTAGCTTCCATTCTAAAACTACAGAGAGAGATATTGCTGCACAGTTACTTTCTTTTCTAACTGAGCATGAACTACTAGATATTCATCAATCTGCTTATAGATCTCACCACAGTGTTGAGACTGCAATTGTTAAAGTTCTCAACGATCTCTTACGCAACATGAACGAAGGAAAAGTTTCTATTTTAATCCTTCTCGATCTCTCGGCTGCTTTTGATACTGTTGACTACCAAATCCTAACAACACGCGTAAGCTCATCCTTAGGAATAACTGACAAAGTACTTAAATGATTTCGTTCATATCTAAGTGATCGAACCTCATTTGTCCGCATTAAATGTGACACTTCTTCTAGAGAAACCTTGAAGT